AAAAAAAAAAAAAAAAAGGTGGCTGAATAGTGACCAGATAATCCAAAGAAAAGAGCAACGTCCCCTTGTTTCCCCATGTTGCAGCCTGAGTGGAGGGAGAGGATCTGGCGCTTGGGCATGAGGTAGTGCATGACGCTAAAAAGGCCCTTCTTCATCTCACCCGCATACTGAGTGCCAAGGATGACCATTTCACGCCTCCCCAGGTTTAGGTCTACGCTGGTGGAGGACGTCATGTAGTGGGTGTACCGGTTACATGGGAACTTCCCAGCATTGTAGATCGTGAAGTCGGGGGTCCCGAAGTTCTCCAGCTCCTCGGGCGTTGGCCGGATACACCTGTTGTTCGTTATTACCAATTTTCTTTCATTTCAACAAAAGAAAACTTGTTAATACCCAACTGGAAAGAATAGCTTACATGTTATGCATGAACAGAGAATGGTAGGCCCTGGCCGAGACGATCCTGACTTTGATGCGATGCTGCGGGTCCCAGTTCAGGAATTGATCGTTAACAAAGACCTGAAACAAACAAGCATCTGGAGTTTAATCATTGTTTAATATTGTTTATGGCAAATTTTGAACAATGAAATCAACTAAATTCCGAATTCAGAATAACATAACAGAAATTGATATTTCAAATTAAAAAAAATATAATAATAATAGTTGGTTAGGTCATAACAAATTCACATAACACAAAATAATGAAGGAACACAAATCCTCAAAATAGTGAATCATGTTAAAAATTAATCTTTAGAAATGAATTGGTGTGCTGCTAACATGCTACAGTTAACTTTGTGCACCGCCATGACATCGATATAATACCTTGTCCAAGGAGTTCAAGTAATCGACCGCTCTTTCTCTGTTAACCATGAAAGCGTGCTCGTCCATCTCAATATTCGGAGAACCCCTACAAATATAATTTTAATTTTCATACACGGTGAAATTAAAGGTTAAAAGTAAAAAAAAAAAGAAACAGGGTGCATCATTGAGAGAGTCTGCACATACTTTCCCCACCAAAGATCATCCTCAGTCGTTTCATCTCTCACGACACGTTTGTCCTTTGGGGAACGGCCGGTCTTTGCACCGGAAAGTGTCGCGATGGCGCCACTGGAAGTAATGAAGGATCCTTTCTCGTACCTAATGGCCTGCTCGTATAGCTCTGTATACACGACAGAAATTAACATCAACAACCGAAACTAAAGTTGCAGAAATTAGGGTTAATGGGAAAAGTGTTACCAGCAGGCGAGAGGTTATAGAGGACATGAGTAAATTTGAGGGAACTGTCGCTAATGCCAATGGAGGGGCTGACATGCTGCGGCTGGCTTTGGCCCACGATCCGCGGCGCTTCTGCTGGGTCTCCCCTCACCACTTTGGGACCGCTCTCTCTCGTCATCGAAGCCAATGAGGCGCTAATTTCAATAACAACATTATTAGTTTGATTTTGCTTTTCCATTAGAATGATACTATTTCTATTTGGCTGCCATTCATGCAATTGTAGAAAATGCTGTTAGAATAAAAGCAAGTACCTGATAGACTGGAGCTGCTCCTTGGAAGAAAGGGGTTTGACGGGCGTAGTAGGCGCTGATTTCTTCTTCTGGAGGGAATGGAGCTCGTCGATCGTCTGGGCCCTAACAGGTGGGGTGCTGTCGTCGATGCATATCTCGTTGTCCTTCTTCTCCGTCTGAATTTTGGGCAGCCCGTGCCTCCCCGTCCCAACCACGCGCCCATTGCCGTTGGCTGCCATTGAATATAGTTAGTGAAGGTGGTGATGAAAAACAAAAGGGATCAATGGCGTGTGCTACTGCTACTGATACTGCTGGGGGATGCTTATTTATATTATAGGGCATCCACTCCACTCCAGTGGGTCATGTTCTTGTTACCCTAAACCCTGATGATTGGATTAAACCTTATCGTGTCAAAGAACATATCCAAGATTCCGTAAAATTTGCATCGCAGACTGAGTTTTTGCAGTGCGACTCGATGCACGGTCATCGTTCAAACAATCTTTTTTACTTTGCGGAAAAAGGGGCAACTAAAAATTGTGGAAAGTTCAAAATTAGGTTAAATGGTTACCGGCAGGCGAGAGGTTGTAGAGGTCATGACTGAATTCGAGGGAACTGTTGCTGACGCCATTGATGGGGCTGACGAGCTCGTGGGTTTGGCTGACGGTCCGCGGCGTTTCCGGCGGCTCTCTCCTCACCACTTTGAGTCCGCTCTCAGCGATGCCAATTCTATGACGCGCTAATTTCAACAAGGGTGGTTGGACATAAACTAGATTAGTAAAAATATTAGTTAGGGTGTCTCCAATAGTTAGCTATTTGGCTAGCTATTATGACGTGGACAGGGGAAAATTAAGAGAGAGAGTAGTCACTAGCTACTAACAAATAGCTTATCTATTTCACGTAGCCCAATATTATGTGAGAGGAGTATGTGGGTCCAATAGTGTAAAATAGTTATTTTTCTTATCTCTCACATCCATGTCAGCTGACTATATAGTTAGTAATAGCTATTACCATTGGAGATGCCCTTAAAACTCAAATCTAACACAATTTTAATTCAATTTTCTCAATATTATTAATACAATTAAATAATTCAACTAATTATTTTTACACACCACATCAATTTTAATTTACTGTTCATCAACTCACATATTTTTAATTAACAATGACTAAAGTCGTTCCGTGGATAAACGACGCCTACAAATCGTGTAGTAATCACGACTTGACTACTAGTGGTGATCCGGTGGATTAAGTAGTCTCTAACAGCCATTAGGATATGAATGAGCTAAAATCGCCAAACATTTTTCATAACATGGTTAACAAAAAAAAAAAAAAAAAAAAGAAAACCAATCAAAATATTCAACATTTATTACCAATTTCATACCATCTTTATACCAAATATTCAACATTGTTGTAAAATGCAAGGAATATAAAGAACACAATATAAAAACCGGATCAAAATTATAAGGTGCTATTCTTCTTTCTCTTTTTCGTACCAATTATACAAAGCTGAAGATGCCTTTTTATAGGCAAAAGTTTGAGCCTATTGGCACACATTTCAAGTAACAAGATAACATATATATTAATATTAGTGGTAATTTCATATATTTATAATACTCCCCCTTGGAATTACCACTATAAAATGTGTGTTTATGCTGCCTCGTTAAAAACCTTATCTGGAAATACCCTGTGGGAAAAAAACCGAGATAAGGAAAAAAGAGTACAGCCGCACATACTCTCCCTCGAGTTATCATCTGTACAAATCCCGAAGATGTCTCATTCCAATGTTGTGTACGTGCTTTCGAAACATTGTCGTCGGAAGCGCCTTTGTAAACAAATCTGTTGCATTATCGCTTGATCGAATGTATTGAACTTTGATTTGTTTGTTTCGTTCAAGCTCTTGCACATATAAGAAGAACTTTGGCGGGATATGTTTAGTTCTGTCACTTTTGATGTATCCTTCTTTGGTTTGAGCGACACATGCTGCATTGTCTTCGAATATCACCGTCGGATCATTATTGTTCGATAGTCCACTGGCTTGTTGAATATGTTGAGTCATGTTTCTGAGCCAGATACTTTCCCTACTTGCTTCATGAAGTGCAATGATCTCAGCATGATTTGAAGACGTCGCAACTAACGTTTGTTTCTGAGAGCGCCAAGAGAATGCAGTTCCGCCAATCGTAAAAACGTATCCAGTTTGAGATCTTGCTTTATGGGGGATCTGAGAGATATCCTGCATCTGCAAAACCGATTATTTCATGTTTTCTATCGTTAGAATAAAACAGTCCCAAATCGATTGTCCCTTGGAGATAACGGAATACATGCTTAATTCCATTCCAATGTCTCCTCGTAGGTGCCGAGTTATATCTTGCTAATAAATTGGTAGCGAATGATATATCTGGTCTAGTGCAATTAGCAAGATACATAAGAGCTCCTATTGCACTCATATATGGTATTTCAGGACCAAGTATTTCTTCATCTTCATCACAAGGTCGAAATGGATCCGTTTCGACATCTAATGTTCGATTGACCATTGGGGCACTAAGTGGATTAGCCTTGTCCATATTGAATCGTTGTAGTATTCTTTTAGTGTAATTAGATTGATGGACAAATATCCCATTTTGGACCCGTTCTATTTGCAAGCCGAGACAATATTTGGTCTGCCCGAGATCTTTCATTTCAAATTCGCCTTTTAGTAAAGTGACTGCTTCTTGATTTTCATTTGTAGTCCCAATAATATTAAGATCATCGACATAGACAGCAATTATCACAACTCCATCTTGTGATCTTTTTATAAAACACACGGGCATATTTGATTATTTATGTATCCCCGTTTAAGCAATTGTTCACTCAAACAATTGTACCACATACGCCCGGATTGTTTCAAGCCATACAATGATCTTTGCAGTTTTATCGCACATAACTCTTTAGGTTTGGACTTTAGTGCTTCGGGCATTCTAATTCCTTCTGGAATTTTCATATAAATGTCAGCGTCTAGTGATCCATATAAGTAAGCAGTCACAACGTCCATAAGACGCATCTCAAGATTTTCATGGATGGCCAAACTAATCAAGTATCTGAAAGTAATTGCATCCATAACAGGGGAATATGTTTCATCATAATCAATCCCAGGCCTCTGGGAGAATCCCTGTGCTACAAGGCGAGCTTTATATCTTGTGATCTCATTTTTCTCATTTCTTTTTCTGACAAAAACCCATCTGTACCCAATAGGTTTTATGTCTTTAGGTATAAGGGTAATAGGTCCAAACACCTTTCGTTTATTAAACGAATTTAACTCGGCTTGAATAGCACCTTTCCACTTGTCCCAATCATGTCTTTTCTGACATTCAATCATAGACTTTGGTTCAGGATCCTCAACTTCTTTATCAATTTCTTGTGATACCATATATGCGAATGCATCATCAATGATCTCATCACGCTTCCAAAGTTTCCCATTATTTACATAATTGATGGAGATTTCAATATTTTCATTTCGTTCCGAAATGTTTCCATCATATTGATTCTTTTTCAAATTCTAATCTTGAATTTCTGTTTTCTTTCGAGGATTCTTATCTTTAGACCCCACTGGTCTTTCTCGTTTCAATCGTTCCTTTAATTCATTGGGCACATCGTCATTTGCCATTTCTTTTGTAATTTCAATTCGAGCAGGGGCATTTATAGCTGCAACATGTGATTTTGTCACCCTTTTCGTGTCAGTAAATGCATCTGGCAATTGATTTGCAATATTTTGCACATGTATGATCTTTTGAACTTCTTGCTCTCTTTGTTTGGTGGGAGGATCAAGATATGATAGTGATGATGTTCTCCATTCAATATTTCTTTCAATTGACTTTTCATTCCCACCTAAAGGGAGAAATAATTCTTCATTAAAATGACAATCATCAAACAGAGCTGTAAAAACATCACCTGTCTTTGGCTCAAGATATTTTATTATTGATGGAGATTCATATCCAACATATATTCCCAACCTTCTTTGAGGCCCCATTTTCGTACGTTGGGGCGGAGCAATTGGTATATACATTGCACAACCAAAAATTCTAATATGTGCAATATTTGGTTCTCGACCAGATGTCAACTGTAATGGCGAGTATGTATGGTGTGCGCTTGGTCTTATGCGAATTAGATTATCTGCATGCAGAATAGCATGTCCCCATACTGAAGTGGGCAGTTTTGTTCTCATTATCAATGGTCTGGCTATAAGCTGCAGTCGTTTAATCAATGATTCTACTAGACCATTTTGAGTGTGAACATGTGCTACAGGATGTTCAACATCAATTCCCACTGCCATACAATAATCATTAAATGCTTGAGATGTAAATTCTCCAGCATTGTCCAGTCTGACCCTTTTGATAATATAATCTGGGAATTGAGCCCTTAATTTGATAAGTTGGGCAAGCAATTTAGCAAATGCCACATTTCTAGTGGATAACAGACTCACGTGAGACCATCTACTAGAAGCATAAATTAACACCATAAAATATCTGAATGGACCACAAGGTGGATGAATAGGTCCACATATATCACCATGAATCCTTTCTAAAAATAATGGTGATTCATGCCCGACTTTAGTATGTGATGGTCTTATTATCAATTTCCCTTGAGAACATGATGCACATGTCAATTCATGTGTTTGGAGTATCCTCTGATTTTTTAACGGATGTCCACTATAATTTTCAATAATTCTTCGCATCATTATCGAGCCAGGATGACCAAGTCTATCATGCCAAAGTTTAAACATTTCATTCGCCTGTGACTTTGTTGCAGCATAAGTCTCAATAATATAAATGCGGGTGTAATATAAGCCTGATGATAAAGCTGGCAATTTCTCCAAAACACATTTATTTCCCGCAACATTTGAGGTAATGCAAAGATATTTAACTCCCCCTTCATTCATTGTTTCAACATGGTATCCGTTCATTCGGATATCTTTAAAACTCAACAAGTTTCTTGTAGATTTCGGGGAGAATAATGCATCATTCAATGTAAACTTTGTACCTCCCATCATAAAAAATATGGCTTTTCCAGAACCCTCAATTATCTTTGCATTTCCAGATATTGTGTTT